ATGGGATGACTGACCACAGGAGCTGGGAGATACACCCTCAAACCATTACCGAGCCCCCGCCGTATGCAACAGTCGGTTTAATGTTCCTGGGGGTGGAGGCTGTGTTCCGGTGGCTCCAAACGCCACCAAACTCTCGTTCTTCCATCAGTGACATCGAGCAGAAAGCGACTTTCGTCTGATCAATGGATCCGTCTCCAAGTTCTCAGATTTCAGTTCTATCGCGCAATACACCATGCTCAACGAGCAGCTTTGTGGTGATCTCTCAACAAGGGATGCTTTATTACTCGTCTCGGCCTCAGTCCTGCAGGTTTGAGCCGGTTCCTGAGGGCTCTGGTGCTGAAACGACGATTGGGCAACCACAGCTGTTTCAGACGAGTACTTGTTACAAAGAGTTCTCGTCGTCACAGGTGGTCTTCCGGATCTGGGACGGTCCTGTATATCACCGGTCTGAGCATGTTACTTGACTAAACGGCTTACCACAGTGTGATGATACCCCAAATTCCGAACAATGGCATTTTTGAGCTTAAGAAAGACATTTTAATGTTTGGATATACTGCCTGTAGAGATACTCAGGGGTAGCTTGATGCACGGGCATACCATGCATTGCACGTGAGTTTTCATCATGCATGACTGATTACATCATCTTGAGAAAACATAATTCCTCCCGTAATTATATCTTTTATGACTGTTACAATTATAGGGACCAAACAATAATGAAATATATTAGGGACGTCTTAACTTTTTTCTTTATGTAGATATGCCAAATAGCTTAGCAGCTTCTTTAAATACCTTGACAGTTGCAGCAACTTTTTGAATAGTTACTACTCCTTTCCAGTATCCTCGAGGGCCGTAGTAAATCTAATTCATCATTCATAATTATCCAGTCAGCTTCCAAATGATTTTTCACTTATCTGAAATTCATACAGAAGTGATGTGGTATAAAATGCCTACTTTAACTGAGCTTGTTGAAATGAAAATGATAAAGTCCATTGGAAAAGGTTTCCAAGTAGTGAAGGAACTGTACCTTATCAAAGATTGTATATATAAAAATACCTCCATTGGCTCTTCTTGAGCTAACAGATAAAACAAGAAAAAAGTGCAAAGCTCACAAACCCCCCGTCATCCACGCTGGTAAACAACAAATAGTAAATAGTTTGTTAATTAATGAAATATTACATATTTCTAACTTATTTTAATTTCAATGTTTTAAAAACTAAGATTGAGTTCCAGTGACAATTGACCCCCCCCCCCCCACCCATCTCCCATGTTACCAGTATTCCCTACGAGGAAGTAGATCAACATGAACACCTTTGAATAAAAATTTGATTGAGGAGTTACATAAGAAGAATTATCAAAAAGACCAAAAATTGTTGAAATAAAAACACATAAAAAATGGAACAATATCATATAAGAAAATCAATAAATTAATAATTTAAATCTAGCCTTAACAGATATGGTAAAGGATTCATAAATTCAAACTAACACGAAGCACAGATACTTATGATGAGATACATGTGAGGAAACAATTTTGGAAAATATATTAGCTATACAAAACCAGTCATCAAAATTTCTAAATTCCATCATGTTTCCATGAAAACAGCAAAAGAGAAAACTTTCAGAATCTTATAAAAGATAAAAAACAATCATAGTGGTTAATGTAGCAAGTTTGCTGAAGTTAGGATACATAATATTGAAACATGGATCGTACAAAAACTCTACCCAAAATTTATGTTTCACCATGATTCCATGGAAACGGCAAAAATTAAAAAATTCAGAATCTTAAAACTAGCAAAAGGCACAAGTACTCATTGTGGTTAATGTGTGTAGAAAATTTGGTGAAGCTAGGGTGCAAAGATAAAAAGATATAGGCCGTACAAAACACCCACCCTAAAAGTTTAAGTTTCTTAATGTTTCCATGGAAACGGCAAAAATTAAAAAGTTCAGAATCTTCAAACTAGCAAAAGGCACAAGTAGTCATTGTGGTAAATGTGTGTAGCAAGTTTGGTGAAGCTAGGGTGCATGTTTAAAAAGTTATGGGCCGTACAAAAGCTCGGATGGAAGGATGGACGGACGGAAGGACAGACGAAGAGAACGCTATATAACCCCGATTTACTTCGTAAACGGGGGTATAAATAGAGCCCGGACTATGGACACTAAGTCATATGACCTAAGAACAAATGGACAACCATGATCATAAGTATGTGATTAACCAAGGGTTGATAGAAAAATCCAGATAGAAAGTATTTTAGTTATTGCTTTCATTGGCATAGTGCTGATTCATCAAATACACTTTACCCCCATGACATGATGGAACTACACACGTTCACCTGGTCAGGGTGGCTTACTTACTTCCATGGGTCAAATGTAATGGCATGATTGACAAGATCATTTCAGGAGCTGCACCTGGTCCATGGTAGTGTGATCAAATGTTTTTGTCTTATGCCAAAAATTGCTGGATCTAGTTGGGATTATTTTCAGGGCCGGGGCGTGGTGGCATTGTATCCCTGAAAACAGCCCGGGATCAGATCTAGGACAGGGGTGATCAAATTAATGTTCTTTTTGTCTTTTGACATTATGATAAATAAAGGACCCACATGGGGTCATTTTCGGTGTCTTGACCTGGTCTAGAAAGGGTGTGGTGCCATGCCCCCATCAATATACTACTCCTCCTGATTATAGATTTTATCTGTAACATCTGTATGTTTCCTTTTAGGCTTTGTATATAATGCTTAATGTTGGGCGAGAGTCCTTTCAACTCTTCTCCAATCACAATTATATTAAACAGTCTGGTTATCTGATTTCAAATTTAATCATTATTATAACAGATCACTAATAGGGACGTCTCAATTTCACGTGCAATCTACATACTATTAATCCTTGTGACAGCTGATGCACTTAAGAGTGAAAATATCGCAAGCCACTCAGAATGTGCATCAGGATATGAGTAGTTTGATATAATTATTTGCTTTAATTTTGGCAATATGCGTTTTGTTTAAACACAATGAAAAATGCAGACTGTCAGTTCCACACTGCTGTGGATACGGATAACAGAACTATGTCCTAATGATTGATGAGGAAAAATGTACTGAAGCAATTAACTAATCCCCAGTTTCAAAACAAATTATTCACGTACCTCTCACGTAAACTCTCATTGTACAGTATTGTGTTGTGAACATTTTAGTGTGCGATATTCACAAATCTGTTTGTAAAAGGCAAAGATGCTAATGCTTTAGTAAAGACAAAAAACCATAAGCAATGTATAATAAATATGGTACTTCAATATTAGAATTTTAAAACTGGACATGTAACTATTGAAAGAAGAGATGGCTTAATGTTCTCAGGTAATTCACATTCATTTGTAACAAATGATAGCTTTTATTTCGGAACAATTATTTATAGATATGACTTTGTCAGATAAAACTCAGGGGTATAATCTAATGTCTACCATCAGCCACGAGGACCAGCACTGACATATTTGTAGACAATCCACCTTTCCATGATTAGGGGTTTGATAATTATGCTTAATATTAGCATATTAAGGGTGGATTTGTGTGGATGGATTATAATTATAATATCAAGACAGGACAGTGCAGTGGTAAATAAAATATTTAAAACGGATTAAAATTGTTATTTTATACAACAAAAACGTTAAGGACCATCCGATTCTGTTAATATCCAAAGTTGTCCAAATGTTTGACAAATCAAAAAAATTAATTTCCCGACTGTGGGACATGTATCGTCAAACGGGTAGGTTTGCAATGAGACCTGAGCCAAAAACGACACCTTATGACGCCTACTTTAATTCGGCTTCACAACAGATTCAGCTTTGTCCCTGTTATCAATGGAGAATTCCGTACAATAACAGGTGTAAATATGTCTGGTCTTATGGAGGAGAGTCATATATATACATATATACCTTCTGTCGTCAGTGGACTAGAACCAGAAAATATAAAATCTGTAGCCCACTTGCTGTTTTGAACAAAACATGTATAGTAATTAGAATCTTAAATCACAAAATTCCATAGATATAGTAAAAACTCTGTTTAAAACGAAATTATTTGTACTTCCTGTTGTTTATGTCATTTGCAGTTTTTAGAAACCTGAAAGTCTCATGGTTGTAGCTCGTGTTTGAATTGTCTAACCTCCGGTCCTATAACTGTAGCTCTCAAGGTATTTTTTTATGGATTTAAGTATATCACTTGATGTTTCGGCAAACATGTGACTCCAATGAAAGAACCATCCCCTCAAGCAGTCCACAAGATTGAAAGTTACATGGCTTTCGGTGAATAAGGTAAAAAACTGACCACTAATTCCCGTTATATGGATTTAATTGTTACCTTGCTTTCGGTGAATAAGGTAAAAAACTGACCACTAATTCCCGTTATATGGATTTTACCTTCTCTTTACCAACAACAACCCCCCCCAATTGTGCATGATTCAAAAACTTCGCCTGCTGTTGCTAAATCTTTCGCTGAAGTTATGACGATGTCCCGACGATGTTCTTAGCGATGTGATACCGTTGCGCTGCCGTACTAGTACCGATCCCCAAAAATTGCCAAATTTGTGCTCCGGTATAGCTCCGGCAACCAGGCCCTTAAAGCTGGGGCACGTGTGGCACAATTGTCTAATGTTCCACAAAAAGAAGTTGTGCCAGAAACTTATAAAAGTGGGTTCAAATCCTGGTTCGCCCTGATCACACCTGTGCTTGTGGGTTTCACCAAAGTGAAGACATCAAAAGACCTGCATCACTGTGGGCTTTCCTCCCACCGGTATCTGACCGGTACTTGTCAACAAACAGAAGTTGTTGTTTAGAAATTGTTGATTGTGTTATTATACTGAATTGGATGTTTGAAAATCAACATAAGGATACTTCACAAACAACAAAACTACCCTTATTTGAAGAGTCAAATATAATTGTAAGTACAAAGCAAAAGGTTCAATTGTCTACCAAATAAAGGGAGGACGTTTCCAGTCAATAATGTTGCAAAGACAAGAACACATTAAAATTTCAAATTTGTTTATGACGAGATAGTTAAGACAAATCTGCAGATGTAGAAAGAGCTGGTCCACAGCTTAAATATGGATAACATTGGCCCTTCACATTTCTTGTATAATTATGAATAGACTTTCTCTACATAATATTGATATATCATTATAGACACACATATGTACAAAAATGTACTTGACTAAATGAAGAAAAACAACAGCAAATGTGAATCAAAACTCCAGGGGGTGAAATGTGAACTGTGAAAGACTTGTAAAAATTCAATACACACTCTCACTAAGAACGAATATCACAATTCTGACCAATTCTGGTCCAATTGCTGATGGTTTACGATCAAAGGTAGACCATGAGGCTATGTAGCTCATCTGACTGACTTATTGTTTGCAACATTATAGTTAAAACATAACATAATGTAAAACTAGAATCATGAAGATCACAAAAGGGTTGACATGTAAACCCAGTAACAACCATGGCACAGATGGTGACTTGGTGTGGTACATGACATCTGGATGGATGTAGCAGGCTGACTTACAACCATGAAGGAAGTGGGCCCCAACAAACAGGAAATTCCCCAATCAGTGTACACAGAAACAGAAGATTGTGGTGCACAGTAGTGTGTGTACCTACTGTGTGCAGCTACTTCATAACAATCATCTTGTATTTATACATCAACTGTCAAGCCAATACAAAGTGACAAATTCCAAGTCTTTGAAACTAAAATATATTAATTCAGAAAGTTGAAATAATGTTAAGTAATCTTGTAATATTAAAGCATACATTTTCACTGTTCAGAATTAGATTAACAAACCCTGATTCACAAAACCACTGAGCAAGGCTGATCAAGTTCATACAGTATTTAAAGGTCAATACTTCAATATGAGCAAATTTGATTTGGAACATGGGCCAAATGCAAAAGTAGAAATTCAGCAAGAAAAAGCAAGCTATGGATTGAGTCAGAGTACATGCTTTAGATTAAACCAATGGAAGCAAATGAACAATTTTTGCATCACAATGTAATGAAGAAATTCTGTATACTTCTGTCATGTTTCATGGCTATATAAAATCAGAGAAAGTAAAGAATATGAAAAAGGTCAAATACTGGTCATTCTGAATGTTTACAGTGAAATAAATAAAAACATTCTGCAACAGCAGTTAAAATAAAAGAAACAAGATAAACAATTGTGCAAGTAATGCTGACATTGTGATAAACATCCAATCACACCATCAGGAAATGATGTCGCTTCGGGAAAAGGTGCCACTGCACTATAGCATGCCTGGACATGTAGTTAAATGTTTAAAATGCCAACAAATACACCCATCCAACAAAAGCTTCCATCAGAAACGAAATTCATGTAGTATCTGTATAAACATGGAGGACTTAAAAATTGATACACTAAAATTTTGATGATTAAAACAAACTATCATGTCATCAAATGGAAACACATACCTGCCAAAGTTAAGCTTCCAGTCTGGACATTTCGGAGATGTTTAAGAGCATGGCTAAAACAAGGTAAACTTACAAATCATGACCCACTACTAACTAAACAGATGACATGAGTTATGGCCAGAAACAGGTTTTTCAATATGGCTGCTGTTTGTTAAAACAACATAGTCATACTCATCACAAGAAGTAACATGTTTTGCACGCTTAGCTTTATAAATGAAGCAGTTAAAGAAGATGTTTACAGAGATCAGAATGCACTTTGCAAGAATTTATAGGCATAGTCTAATTGCAATTAAAGAAAACATGGCACAATATAACACACATATGTTTAACCCAAATACAAATCACTTTTATGTTAACCATTGGCAAATTGTCTAATGGGTCCACTAAACCATTCTCTTTCAGAACAATTACAAACAAAACTAATATATGTTTATGTTTCTCAGACAACAGTATATCGTACCTTCAGTCACATGACACAAGAATATCTCCAGCTTCTTGTAACATAATGTACATCTTGCCAAATAAAACAACAATATCTACTGAACAAAAAATGTTAGGGATCATGAATATTCATGGGGATATTCTTTGCAGTGAAGAATGAGCACACACTATGATTAAATATATCCAAAAGGTCAAGATACCAAACTTTTTTGTTCAGTATATATTAAATAATACTAAATTTTGCTTCACCAACACCCAAAACATGCATGTTTTCATACATACTTCATATAATCACAGGACATTTAATTATGCTGCAACACACAGACTAATCACCAGAATAACCAATGTAAAATAACGGCAGTAGCATCTTGAGACTAGGTACTTCAAATATTCCATTTAACCACAATAATGACAAGACCATCATTAGCAGTTTTCCATATTTAGAGCAATTCTTTTCTTTTGTCCTTTCGCCTCTAGATTAAATGTTTACAGATAACATGAACAACAATATACTCCAATACACAGTTCTAAACAAAGGCAGTCCAGAACCACATCATGGACATGTGAGTGATCTTCAATATATATTATATGGGATACAAAATGTAATCCATAAAAATAATTAATAAATCTTTGCTTTCTCATTTCCCTGTTACTTATTAGTGAAGACCAATCACAGGCAGGTAATGGAGGTATTGGCCAATCAGGTACGGTGTATAAGCGAGAGGAACTCTTCTCGAGTTTTAGGGTCTTCTCGGAACACTCCAAGCATGGTACTTGTCACTGTCTTGCTGTTGAGCTTCTGCACACCACGCATCACCATACACATATGGCTGAAACACAAAAATCTCAGATTGAAGGAGTACAGGTATTTTGTAATTAAAAGAGACAAAATCCTTTCCATATATTCATAATTTGAAATCTCTGCCCAAAACAGTTTCGATTATATGATTCTGACTATATCATGAGCATATGAATAAATGATATCAGCAGAAATAATCCGCCTTCCTAGATATTCCCCTTATTTTAAATATAACTCCAATACTTGAAAGTTCATCTCCAGGAAAAGTATACCCATATGATGATACAGTACTGGAATCTGGGCAAAATGAATGCATATAAATGATTCAAATAAGATGATCGCAAATATAAACAAGAGTCATCCAAAGATGACATATCTCCCCGACGTTGCATGTCGGTAAACTGTGTGTACCTTCAAATGTATTTAGATTGGCAAGGAAATCTTTTTCCTTGATGCCAAAACTAGAAATATAATGAAGGTTATTAAATATTGGTTCATGTAGCTCACTTTCTGATGATCTCATGAAATTGCAATAACAATAACTTCGCAGATTCGCATATGAATAGCTTCGCAGTAGCCTCATTACACAAAGGCATAAAGAGAATGTACTAGGGATTGACAAATAAACAAACCTAAACATCTTGTTTCATTATATGTCAGGGGCTACAAATTAAAAAGATTAAAATCTATAAATAACAAACTGCACTATAAGTGAACATGATTGATATTTGCATAAAGTTTGGTGAATCTCTGTCGCATGGTTTAGAAGATATGCTCCAGACGAGGACATTACCCTCAGTTCATCAATTTTCAATTTAAATTGAAAAAAGAAAAAAAAGAAAAAATCTGTTAATAGCAAAGGCACCACTACATAACCTGCTTGAAAGGTGTAAAAACTTTTGAGAAGTTAAGTTGTATGGTTCGGGAGATATGGTCTGGACAAGAGCACTACCCTCAAATTTCCTAAGGGTTCATCATATTTCCATGGAAACAACAAAAATATCAAATTCTAAAAATCTCTAAATAGCAAAAGGCACTTCTACTGAGCTTGATTGTTAAGTGTACCAAGTTTTGCGAAGCTAGGTTGTATGGTTTAGAAAATATGCTCTGGACAAGAGCAGTACCCTCAAATTTCCTAAGTTCATAATATTTCAATGGAAACGACAAAAATATCAAATTCTAAAAATCTCTAAATAGCAAAAGGCACTTCTACTGAGCCTGATTGTTAAGTGTACCAAGTTTTGGGAAGCTAGGTTGCACGGTTTAGAAAATATGCTCCGGACAAGAAAACTACCCTCAAATTTCCTAAGTTCATCATATTTCCATGGATTACGACAAAAATAAAAAATTCAAAAAATCTCTCAATACCAAAAGGCACTACTACTGAGTCTGATTGGTAAGTGTACCGAGTTTTGTGAAGCTAGGTTGTACGGTTTAGGGAATATGCTCCGGACAAACAATGATTACAGACGGACAGACGGACGGACGGACGGACATAGTGATGGCTATATCCCCCGTCATTATATGTCGGGGGGATAAAAATGAACAACAAAAGACTCATACAAGATGAAAGGAGTGCAATGATGCTTGAAATATCCTGGTGCTACATCTGACTTGCGGACCCATGTCAAACATGTAAAAGGAGTACCATGTCTGACTTATGAAAACAGTTTGGGACCTATATCCAACATGTAATTAGATACAATGTCTGACTTAAGCAAACAGTGAGGACCTTTGTCCAACATGTAATGGGATACCATGTCTGACTTAGGAAAACAGTGAAGACCTTTGTCCAACACGTAAAAGGATACCATGTCTGACTTAGGAAAACAGTGAAGACTTTTGTCCAATGTGTAATGGGATACCATGTCTGACTTAAGAAAACAGTGAAGACCTTTGTCCAACATGTAATGGGATACCATGTCTGACTTAGGAAAACAGTGAAGACTTTTGTCCAACTTGTAATAGGATACCATGTCTGACTTAGGAAAACAGTGAAGACCTTTGTCCAACATGTAATGGGATACCATTTCTGACTTAAGAAAACAGTGAAGACCTTTGTCCAACATGTAATGGGATACCATGTCTGACTTAGGAAAACAGTGAAGACCTTTGTCCAACATGTAATGGGATACCATTTCTGACTTAGGAAAACAGTGAAGACCTTTGTCCAACATGTAATGGGATACCATTTCTGACTTAGGAAAACAGTGAAGACCTTTGTCCAACATGTAATGGGATACCATTTCTGACTTAGGAAAACAGTGAAGACCTTTGTCCAACATGCAATGGGATACCATTTCTGACTTAAGAAAACAGTGAAGACCTTTGTCCAACATGTAATGGGATACCATTTCTGACTTAGGAAAACAGTGAAGACCTTTGTCCAACATGTAATGGGATACCATGTCTGGCTTAGGAAAACAGTGAAGACCTTTGTCCAACATGTAATAGGATACCATGTCTGACTTAGGAAAACAGTGAGGGACCCTTCCCATAACCATCAATTACAGGGAGTGGACTAGGACAAGAGTAGGATAGGTTGCACTTGCTGCAAGGGCAAACGTGAAGCACACATAATGTAATTTCCAATACTTGCTATTTCCCTTGATTTCCAGTAATTGATAGGACTGTCAATATGCATTCATTTCAGGTTCATGTGATTCAAAGTCATTCAATTAGTTGATAATTGCCACGAAAAGGAAGAATTTGATCAATAAGATAACAGCATGACTATCACAACAGAAGTGATGTTGATAAAACATGATTAACTCTAAAAGCAGACGTGTTATGGATTATCAATAGATTCCATATCAATAGATATAGTCATGGAGACAGGTATCCGAGCAGTGAGTGGGCTCAGTCCAGCTCTGAAACAGGTTGATATCTGTAGAATCAATATGCCAGGTACATTGCTCTCGGTGATGAATCTGTATGTCGTGTAACTTAGTTCCTACAACAGGCTTGTAATGGTTTGTTTTTTTAGGTTCCACTGCTTAATTAAGTTCAAAAAGCGCTACTGAAATCATAACCCTTATATAATGGCTCAAAATGTTAGGCATACCATAATACCTCCAGCTTATTGAAAGAAATGGTTATAAGCACTTCCAGTTTGTTGGTGTCACTTCCTGATTTGGAAAAACATGGGACTTGAACCAAATAAAAATACATTGAACATCTGGGTTGCCTCAGCACCATGCGTCAGCTTAGGTAAGTGGGAATGCGTTTAGGTTTGTTTCTTCACATGAACACCACTAACATTAGTTGTCACCTCATTCTTGTCACTACCCCGCTTTCCCTCCTTACGGTTAGGCAATAAAACAGTGACATGACATGGCTTTATCAATGTCATCTTAGAAGATGGGGATGTAGTTTAGGTAAGTTATTTCTTTCTTACAGCAGTGGCCACCTCATCCTTGAAGAAAACAATTTGCTGACGAAGGTGACTTCCTCACTGATACTAATGACATGGTCAACTCCTATCATCCAACAAACTTGGAAAAGACGCATCGGAGAGTGTGGTGCAGAGGGCACATCATGAATTATCCCGCCTGATGAATAGAATAATCACTAGATAACTCATAACGCTGCTCCAAGACTGAACTGTGAAGATCCGTATGGAAATCCCTCTCAGTATCTACTTGTTGAGAAAACTACCTGTTGTGCCTCTGTTTGGATATAACTGCCTCTAAGCTTCATGCCTCCTCTGCATCTGTGGGTGATGCGAATCCCAAAAGGTAGAGTCTAGTTACCCTAGAAGATTTAGTAGAATGGGTGCTCTGGTCACGTGGAGGTGACCTGTCCCAGCAGACGACCGAGGTGGTGAAATGCATGATCCACATAAATTAAGTCCCCTACGTCTCACTTGAGGGGAAATGCTCCATCCATGCTCTATCAAGAGACGCACATGAAGAAGGAGGGACATGTACATCAGCAGATGTCTTAGCCATGCCATTTAAATGTTTTCCTTGAGCTTTATGATCCATGGATTCAGATCCTTTCAACCCTGTGATATCCTTCTTGATCAACAATATTTCCTGATGAATGACAGCATTAACAGAGGTGGTTACAGCTTTCAGTAACTGTTCCAACCTGAAGAGGCCATGTGCTTCTGGGTTCAACAGCGACAGCAGCTTGCTCTTAGCAGCTCCAGTGCAGACTGCCAAAGCGTGCTAGTCAGGGTTGCCATCAGCAGAAACCGAGATGCTCCTGCCTGTATCTTTGTATCGGGTGGGTTAACACAGGGGATAGAGCTCTTCACTCTTGTCCATGCTTGTGCATCTTCTTACCATGGGAAGCTGCTATAGATTGCTCTATGTGACCTAGCATTGCCTTACCTATGGACGATCTGACCTTTCCTTGGAATGTGAAGACACTGGTGAGGTATTATTCCATCCCTCGTTTACTCCTTGACATTCCTTATCCATAAGTGAGTAACACAAACACATCTAGAATCCAGATTGCAAATAATTTTCCTGCCCTCGAAACATGATAGATGTGGAGTAAAGGGAACTTGATGAGTGCCGCAATCTGGGCAAAGTAATAGAGAATCTATTCTCAAACATGTTACCAACTATCTACTTTAGTGAGTCACTTTGAAAGTAGATAATATCTATTAATTAACTGTGAAAAACCTAACTAGAATATACAGTGTGAAAAGTATAACTGGGCATCTAATTTCCTTGACAAGAGCTTACACAGGAAAGAAGTGACATTTTCCCACCTTGCGCTGATTTCAGTAGAGCATTTTCATTACTGTTGCTTATTAGATAGGTGGCAATGATGTAACAGAGGTAGCTAGGGTATAATCAAAAGATTGTTATGATCCACTATTAGATCAGGACTAATAATACCCACCTCCCCCAATATTCAGCATCTAGTTGTAGATGTTGGAAAGAAGTGAGGTTTTCTACCCTGCGCATGCACAAGAGGCTTGGTAAGGGAGATACTATAAGTGGCACAAATAATTATTGATAGTTGACAGTGAAGGGGACATCTGTTGAAAAATTTGAATATTGTATAGTGTTAGGACTACCAAAATGCAGGATTATGGCATTGATGTAATGGAGGTAAGGTATACAAAGGAATTATTAATGTTCACAGTTATTGAGTAGACGGACAGAAAACAACTTACATTATGTCATGCCTTAAAAGTTGACAGGTAATGTGTCCATGGTCATATGTCAGTAGCTTACTCTGTGGTTCAAGTAACAATGTGGACATTCATGGACCATGTTTGTTGTCAGCTCATTTGTCACTGCCTGCATCAACCAAACACTGACCTAGTCTAGTAGTCCACCAACAAATGAAATTTTATGCAAATCTTCCAGAAAAGACAGTATGCAGGAAACAGATACATGATATACATACAAAGTTATTCAGTCAGTCTATCTTCAATAAACCCATTTGTGCTGGGAAATAATAGGTAAAGGCACCAATTACTATTTCTTTAGTGTGTGTAAAACTGGGGAATACATACATGTTGCAGGAGATGAGACATATATGTGTGTGTTTACATGAAAATACTGAGTGAGGGTGGTGTAGATAAAACATGAAGCAACTAGGTGTATGTAGGAAGGTACACTACATGCTCATGCTAAGTACATGCTGCCATTACCTGGACTGGGTTACATCAAACAGAGGACTGCAACAGAGAAATCAGGAAGTCTTGTTCTCATGTTACACTACTGATGGTACATGTGCAGAAATGCTTCAAGGAACTGACTACAATGGACTGGTTTCTTGCTGGTACAGTGAACCACTACTTTATTCTGCATGGGCTCAATATGCATGAACTAGTATATACCGTATTTTGTAAAGTATAGTGCACACTTTTTTCCCCAAAAAAACACAGCTGGGTAGAAGGGTGAGGTGCATTATACACGCCATAATGAGTTTTGATGGGGTTTTTTCCCCAACGCAAAGACATTACTGTGAGCACGTAACACCAGAATTACCATGTCAACAAATCCGTACTGAAGTACATAAATTAATCATGAATTACATTGTCTGGTTATAAAAAGTGTTCATTGTATGTCTCGAATTATGTTTGGAACTTATTTCATCAATTTTATTCAAAATTCCTTTCATCATTGTTTTCATTCATTTTGGCAAAATCGTGTGTGAAGTGATCAGAAGATCTCACCGTTATTAACAGCAACCACAGTCAGATTACTGCTGTTCACGCCTTGAAACCAACTTTAGTTGACTGAGAATGGATACATATTACATAAATGCCATACTTTGACTCGTTAAAAGTCATATTTGTTGCAGTTTGACGATTTTATGTCAACATGTAGTTCTCGCAACCACGTGCATGGGAGCCTCAACGGTGACTGGTCAAATTGTTCCATGTAAAAAAAATAACCGGTAATAGTGATCATCTGCACCAAAGTGCTACGCTTAGGGTTATTATTATTTTAAATATATTTAGTAAAAACTGCAACTAAAATAACAAGGTATTGGGATATATGTGACCTGTTCCATAAAAAGGACCAAAAGTCGTCGACTATTGAAAACAAGTTACGCATATTTTCAATTCTAAATACTACTAAATAGTATCAAAGAACTCTTTAGAATTTAAACTATTTCAAAGTTGAGGAGCGATTTCCTTGGTATCAGTGAGTGAGTGAGTATGGTTTTACGCCGCTTTTAGCAATATTCCAGCAATATCACGGCGGGGGACACCAGAAATGGGCTTCACACATTGTACCCATGTCGGGAATCGAACCCGGGTCTTCGGCGTGACGAGCGAACGCTTTAACCACTAGGCTACCCGACCGCCCCCCTTGGTATCAGTATTACCGACATGTGGTCCCTTTGTATGGAACAGGTCACATATTATTCCTTATAAAAATATAGTTTTAGATACAATTTTTCCCGATCATTGCAGCAAAATCTTTTAAAGTTCTATCATTGGGTAAGTTTTAACCAAATCAACGGTAGATTCCAAGAAAACGTGTGTACAGCTGTTTCCGGCTTAGTTTACGAGAAAATACACTTGGTAATCTTAACCCCTGCATGTAAAACTATGCCTAGCGGAACCAAAAATACAATTTAGATGGTAAATCAACATGTCTGGAGATTTTTTATCTCAAAATTCAAATTTGTACTGACCAAGTTTCTTATCACCCGTTCCTTTCCCAGAATTCACTGAAGGGGTACAGTGTAATATTTTTCTGCTCACAATATTCGAAATTTCTTTTTTTCCAAAATACTGACTCCGCTAGACGGGTGCGCATTATACTTGGGTGCACACTTATACTCAAGAAAATATGGTATTTGATAGAGATGCAATACCACTGATAATTAACAAAACAAACAAATATCACTCAAAACCACACTGTTAATTTATGTTAAACAAGAAAACTGAGTCATCTACATCACCTGCCATCCTTGCATGCTAAGAGTTGTAAATAAATAATTTTGATAGTGAATATGATCGGAACCAGTCCTAACTAGCCTGATACATTTGCAAGTTTCAAGGAGGAATAAGGAAAGGTATGGCACCAGAAAACAACAACCTAATTTGGACTTGCTACCTTGGAAAGCAAAATATATCCATACAGTGTATCACATTGACATATGAAACAGTTAATAAATTATACAAACCCTACCTACATCTTAGACAATGGAAGTGCTATACCCACATCTTAGCAAATGATAAAAAAAAATCAACAAGGGACATAACTCTTATAAAACATAATTCTCTTTTGCAGTTTTCAAACTTGATGATATATTCATCGTTTGAAGCTGGATTCATAATGTCCTTTGGTTACCAAAATATTGGCAGCGGTTCTGTGCACCAAGTTCAAAAGATCAAACAAGGGCTCTAATTCTGTTAAACATCAATTGTGGATGATGGTTTTCTAGCTCGCTCACCATATTGATCCCAGGTTGACAGTTCACATACCTGTAGTGAGTTGGAAGCTATATTCTGTGATAGTTTTAAACACGAAGTAATAAATAAAGGGGTCACCATAGTAAGTAGGTTTAGTTCATTATGTGTTGACCAATGGCCAGAGATGCGATACACAAAACTATATATATTAATATAAATGATGCTGCTGAGCTGACATTTGATACACGTATGTACAGAAGTACCATCCCCAACATCTGTAGCACAGTGAAACACATACAACCATCATAACACTTATATCCTGCTTCTTTGTCATATGTTAGTCTGGATTCTACCATGAAATTTGAAAATACCTCCTTCTGATTGGTTAATGAGGTACACAATCACCACGTCTGATTGAAATAACTGGTTTGACAGCTGATTTGACAGCAGAAGCAAGTAGAAGTAGAAAAGTACTTCTTTCTCTATCATTGTCAGTGGACATTACAGGTTACACAATGCACAGTTGCAATATGGCTGGCATTATTTTATGTGCAGAAAGCAAATTAAAAAACAAGTGAGAGAGGGTATTTCAAGTTTCACAGAGAGCTTGAAATCTGGTGCTTTTCTGCCTGTGATGTCACATTATTGTGCAGTGAAGAACTATAGCCATGCAAGATGTGCTTCATTTTCTTTAGTTTAGCTTAGTTGGCGTCCACCCTATGTTGGCTCACAAAGTAGCTGTGCTATACACTTTCAATGCCCTCAATATATTTGAATAAAGAAATATGATGATATAAACAAAAGAATGATTGGGCATATACAGTGTAATAGTTTGTTTAAGAGAGTGAAACATACTGTGTTATCAGTGTAGAGCTAGGTGACTTCACAGAGTGCATTCAACATAATGTGGTTATCGTTTCCCATTTGTGTAGATTGATGCTTGTGATGTCAATCACTGGATTGTCTAGTCCAGGCTTGTTTTTTACAGACCACCATTATATAGCTGGAATATTGCCAAGTGTGGCATTAAACAACAAACAAGACAGTCTGGTCTGTTGATGCCCAGTGGATACAACACATTTCTGCCAACCTTATTCAGGGTTAAAACATCTGCTACAGAGTTGCCATCTACTCAATGGTAAAACATTTAGTCCACAAGGAAATGTCCTTTCGGAATTTACTAGTTTCGGACTGTTAATTAAGAACCCCTTTGAAGAAAAAGGTCGAAGAAGAAGTTTAATCATGAATGAAGGCCACATGGTCCAGAGTTCATTTACAGGAATAATATATACTATGCACATGCACAAATTATCTTACAAAAAAACTTTCAATTTTTTTACATTTGTATTTACATAGGTAAATGTCTTTTTAAATATATGGACAGGTTTTTAATAACACAATCATTTCTGGTAGAATGATGAATATGGTTGTACATGGTAACATTTTGGAATTAAATTTTCTCTACTGCTTTTATAAAAAGGACAAATTAACAAAAAATGGTATTCATGTTCTATTTCATAGCGGTTACATTTCATACATAAACTAGACAATGACTCTGTGGTTGTATTAAATCAAGTTTTCTGTACATTTAGATTATGGCAATCTAAATATTTATTTATATAAAGCTTTAAGAAGATCTCTTTCACAGATATTTTTCTGGTTCGAGTAGTGATTCATAAGATGAATAAACATCAAGGAAAGAAGAATTTGTGATTTTGTAATGCCAGTTTTGGAATTCTATATCTTTACATCGTTGTTTGAATATAACCATGAAGCATTTCATATCACCGCAATTCTGAGACAATCACACATATGAAAACCCAGTTTGAAAAAATAATTGTCTTATATAAGTACCCCAGTAAGTTTGACCATTTTCATCAAATGCTTTTAACATATGGTTAAACAGGCATACGGATATCTTGTTTCATGTAATCTAAGTAGTTGACTGTAATAGTGTACACACAGTGATGTTCTTCCCATGGCAGCTCTCCTAAAATTGTATTTGTTGATGTTCTTTTACCAACGGAAAGAACACTTTTAAAGAAATTACTCTGAACCTTTTCAATGCTTTTTCAATAAGTACATCCCCAAACTTCTGAGCCATATTCGAGAACAGCTAGGTGCAATCTTTGAATCAAATATGAGAGAGATGGGGATTTCTTTCCTTATCATATTTAACACAGGAAAAGTCGCTTTCCTTGCTTGAAGAGCCCCTTTGATAAAACTCTCATAATGACATTCTTTCTGGTTTGTTTGTCAATGCAAAAATAGTGTCACAGGATTGTCCCTCTCTAGTGAATACTGAACGGATGTGGTGAAAGTTAGGAAGGTGTAAATGTGCTGTGTAATGTGGTCTATTTGATGTGATCGTCAGTATGATCTCAATGTAACATTCTTCAGTGAACCTTGTTGTGTTAACAAACATTCAAGTAAGGTATCACTGCACATAAGAATGGGTGAAGCCATTCTTGAGATATATAAGACATTTTGTTTTCACAAAATCCTCAAGTAATTGAGCAATCCCAAAAACAAATTTGGTCACAGTCATCTAAACTCATCTGTCCAAGTCTGTCCAGAAACCAAACTTGGCTGGTTGCATTGACAGACAACTAGCTGCTGTCCATGACCAATAGAGCTAATCATAAATATGAAGCTCTGTGGGGCTGCTTTCTCGTTGTCCATGAACTGCCTTGAACAATCCCATTAGCAGACACACTTGACTGACTTCCCTACAAATATCTGTAGAAACCAGCTTCCAGATCAGTACTAGTAGGAATCCAGATTGTTGCAGTACATGAGGTTAATATGGTGCCCCCCCTAAAAAAAATGAAACATGGTTTGTCAAAATTTTACTGTGATGGACTTACGTGGCCTCTATAACTACTGCTACCCCTGAGGGATGGATGGCTTCTGTTATGGCAACTGCTATCTGTTTGGTCAGTCGTTCTTGCACTGAAATTGTACAAAAAGACATTTTAACAAAACACAATACCTTGTTAGTGTAAATGCAGGGAACTGACTTGATCTGTTTCAGCAGATAATCAAGATTGATTATTCTCTGGTGTTGATGTCTCTGATTTACTTGAACTGGGACAATGTTTCTGCTGGTGGACTGAAGTCCTTGACCTTCATCATCCACTCAGTAACACTTATATAGTAAAACCTATCAATTGTGCTAAGTCAAGTTAAGAAAAAAAATGTTTAGGGGGTAAAGATATTAAAACTCTCCCTAACTGTATTGCAAAATGAAAGGTTATCCGACACATTTTGTTGCAAGAAGAGCTTTCAAAAGTGTGGCCACGACATCTAAACGTGAATTGATGCCATATTGATAACAAATTGTGTCAAGATCGGTTTCACATGTGGTAGCTCAGCCCCCGTTTCCGTTGATCGTGCACGCGATACAAACATAATACAAGCATCTGAAAGCATCAACAGGATTTCTTAAATGATGACAGCAATACCTTTTTGCATTTGGGTTAACCGCTTATGGATACGATGTGCTGTGAAATTCGATTTCAATTTGTTTTTTCTTTCAATGAAACTGTCATAATGTTCAAACAGTATATATTCTAAAGACGAATCTAGAAAAAAATGAAGACTTAAACTTAGAATTAAAAATCAGTGATACTCTTCTTTTAGAAACATTTATGATGAAAGTGAGAGGCAAATCAATATCTTTTTCCACTTATTTAAAGAAAACAAAATATGAAGAAAGTAAAAACTTAGAGGAAAATATAAAGTGAATAGAAGAGGAAATTAGGGAAAATGTTCATGATATAAGTGAATCAAATCTGTCAGACTTGTCTAAATATAAGGTACTTTTTGAAAAACTGAAATAGGAAGAATCAAGGGGGTTACAAATTCGAATCAGAATCCAGTGGTCCAAGGAAGGAGAGAAACCATCAAAATACTTTTGTCATCTTGAAAATAGGAACTTTACCAGTAAACTAATTAACAGTATTATAACCGAAAAAGGGGAGTTAATAACTGATGGACAATCCATTTTAACTGAACAAAGAACTTTTTATGAGAAAACTATACTCTTCAAGTGGAGAAATAACTGATGAATCCAAAAATTTATTACACAAACTTAATACACCAAAATTTAGTATCAACAAGTATTTGTCACAAAGTGACGAAATGTCCCCCGCCTGTATATACACCATAGTACCAAATATGAAGACAATCCAGCGATTAGCTCTTGAGATATTGTGGCAACACCGTTTTCCAACTCCAAAAACAGATTTGCCTGCTGTGACCTTGAAAATGGGGTCAAGGTCACCCAAACCGACAGATGTCTGCAGAGTCTGTATATACACCATAGTTCCAAATATGAAGACAATCCAGTGATTAGTTCTTGAGATATCGCGGCAACACCGTTTTCCAACTCCAAAAGCAGATTTGCCTGTGACCTTGAAAATGGGGTCAAGGTCATCAAAACCGACTGGTGTCTGCGGAGTCTGTATATACACCATAGTTCCAAATATGAAGACAATCCAGTGATTTGTTCTTGAGATATCGCGGCAACACCGTTTTCCAACTCCAAAAGCAGATTTGCCTGCTGTGACCTTGAAAATGGGGTCAAGGTCACCAAAACTGACTGGTGTCTGCGGTGTCTGTATATACACCATAGTTCCAAACTTGAAGACAATCCAGCGATTAGATCTTGAGATATCACGGCAACACCGTTTTCCAACTCCAAAAGCAGATTTGCCTGCTGTGACCTTGAAAATGGGGTCAAGGTCACCAAAACCGACTGGTGTCTGCGGAGTCTGTATATACACCATAGTTCCAAATATGAAGACAATCCAGTTTTTAGTTCTTGAGATATCACGGCAACACCATTTTCCAACTCCAAAAGCAGATTTGCCTGCTGTGACCTTGAAAATGGGGTCAAGGTCACCAAAACCGACTGGTGTCTGGGGGGTCTGTATATACACCATAGTTCCAAATATGAAGACAATCCAGTGTTTAGTTCTTGAGATATCGCGGCAACAAACAGGTGGGACGTACGGACGGACGTACGGACAGTCGTGAATACTATATCCCCCGCTTCGCGCTTTCGCGTGGCGGGGAACAATTAGTTTGATAATTTAGAAAACATTATTAACATGAATGAAATTGCAATGGTTGTAAATCTGTGAAAAACAAGTATTTGTCACAGAAGTGACGAAATGTCCCCCGCCTGTATATACACCAAAATACCAAATATGAAGACAATCCTGCGATTAGTTCTTGAGATTGCGGCAACACCGTTTTCCAACTCCAAAAGCAGATTTGCCTGCTGTGACCTTGAAAATAGGGTCAAGGTCACCAAAACCGACTGGTGTCTGCGGTGTCTGTATATACACCATAGTTCCAAATATTAAGACAATCCTGCGATTAGTTCTTGAGATATCGCGGCAACACCGTTTTCCAACTCCAAAAGCAGATTTACCTGCTGTGACCTTGAAAATGGGGTCAAGGTCACCAAAACCGACTGGTGTCTGCGGAGTCTGTATATACACCATAGTTCCAAATATGAAAACAATCCAGTGTTTAGTTCTTGAGATATCGCGGCAACTCTGTTTTCAAACTCCAAAAGCAGATTTGCCTGCTGTGACCTTGAAAATGGGGTCAAGGTCACCAAAACCTACTGGTGTCTGCGGAGTCTGTATATACACCATAGTTCCAAATATGAAGACAATCCAGTGTTTAGTTCTTGAGATATCGCGGCAACAAACAGGTGGGACGTACGGACGGACGTACGGACGGTCGTGAATACTATATCCCCCACTTTGCGCTTTCGCGCGGCGGGGGACAATAACCAAAGCCCAGGTATTGATGGATTCCCAGTAGAATTTTTCAAATTTTTCTGATCTTGGAATATGGGTGTACAGATATATCACAGAAACATTTAGAAATAACACTTAAAGCCTAACAATGAATAGGGCTGTCATAACCTTTATACCCAAAGGCACAAAAGATAAAAAACTACTCAAAAACTGGCAACCAATTTCTCTCTCAAATTCGTTGTATATAATTTTGAGTACATGTATAGCAAACAGAATTAAAATGACACTTAATATTCTTATACATAAAAACCAAACTGGCTTTATCTCTGGAAGATGTATTAGCAAAAACATACAACTACTATATGATATCTTGTTTGAAACAAAATTACAAAATAAGCCTGGTTTACTATTACTTATAGACTTTGAAAAAGCTTTTGATACCATTTCAAAGCAATTTACAATGCTGACACTTGAAAAGTGTGGCATTGGACCTGATATGAGAAAATGGATACACATACTTATAAATAATGCTTCATCTTGCATCATACAAAATGGACACCTTCTTCTATAATGAAAGGGGGTGTAGACAAGGAGACCAATTGTCTCCATATCTATTCCTGGTCTTTGCAGAAACTTTGGGAAAAAATTATTCATGATTTTAACGCAAGAAAAGGTATCAAACTGAATAATGTGGAACATAAATTCGGACAATATGCTGACGATACAGAAATATTTCTAGATGGGACTGATGAAAGTTTAAGTACAGCGATTAACACCCTAAATGATTTTTAAATGTCTGGATTTAAAATTAACATAGTTAAAACAAAAGCAATATTAATAGGCTCAATGACAGGCTGTGACACCAAATTATGTCAGGATCTGAAACTAGACTGGCACAGTGGGGTATTTGAAATATTGGGAATAAAGCTTAATTCTAACTTAAATAAGCTGTGGGTAATCAATACCAAAAAGAGATTTGAAATTATAAATCAAATTTTAGGGAATTGGAGGAAAACACTGATCGGTAAAATTACTGTTGTCAAAACCTTGGCCCTATCAACCTTGGTACCTATATTTTCCTATCTTCCAAACCCTCCAAGTGAATTTATTGATGAACTAAACAAAATATTGTACAGATTCATCTGGAATGATAAAAGGGACAAAATAAAACAAACAACATTAATTAGAAAATAGGACGAAGACAGACTGAGAATTATAGAGTTAAAGTCTTTTATAATTTCTCTGAAACTGTCAGTTCTAAGAAAACATCTTCAAAACAAATACTGTAATAACCCTAGCTTCTTTCCACTAAAGAACATATTCCTACTTGGGGCCAATATTGAAAACTGTATACACTTTCCTAACCCTTACTGGAGAGATGTTTTGGCTGCTTGGGGAACACTGTATAGAAGACACAGAACTAACTCCACAAACCCTGGAGAAGTACTATCACAACCTCTTTGGTGTAACCATCAGTTTAAAAAAATGATTTCATTGTAAGAAAATGTTTTTTTAAAGGGAATTTACACTATTAAAGATCTCTGTAATGAAGATGATATAATGCCCTTCAATGAACCTAAAAGAAAATACCAAATTAAAGGCACAATTATTAACTGTTACCAGGTTCTATTAAACATACCAAAATCCTGGAAAGATGCTATTAGAAATAATCACATTATCTTATATAATCAACATTTAGATACAACTTTGATGGACTTACTTGTAGGCCTAAAGGCTCCAGATACTTTTATGATAAGACCATAACTCCCAACAGTATGTGAAAAATGAAATACCATTCTTGACTTATATATATCATTGAAGGATGTTTTCATCAGATACAGAAAATGTACAAAAGATATAAAATTGCTTGATTTATAATATATGATCGCATCAACTATGCAAAGAAAGAATCGTTTAAAATGAAAATTCTCGATGATGATCTTTGCTCTTTCTGTGAAACACAAACTAAATCCTTACTTCATGAAAATTGGGATTGTGAGCATGTTAAAGAGTTTGGGGCCAAAGTAGAATGTTTTCTGAATGCAAAATGTACAAAACAATTTATATTTACAAAATGCTCTCTTTTACTTGGGTACAACTCTAATATTCTGTTAAATCGCACCATACTGGCATGCAACAAATAAATATACATGTATCAAGTATTAAGAAAAACAA